CCGCCGCCGACATTCTCAGTTTGCCCCCCCCGCCGCCGCTCCCGCCCGGCAGCATGCCGCCGCCTGCTCCTAGCCCGCTCATAGCAGCGGCGGTTGCGGGGGGATGCGCTCCCCCGAAAACTACTCCGCTGCCGCCGGTCATTATGTTGCCGCTACCCACGGTGGCTTTCGGGGCGGAGGAGGCCGAGGCGTCCGGTCCATTCAAGGATGTGGACGCTTCGCAGAAGGTGTCGCCCGATTTGGACCGCAGGTGCAACAGCTTCCCGTTGGCGCGCTTCACGGTGTCCTCGTCTCTCGAAGAGGACGTGTACTGAACCAACAGGTACGAGTTGAGCCGCACGGCACGGGGGGGGGGTATCTTATCTATCAGCCTTTGTGGTTGACAAAATTCGGCTGTGTTGTTGACATGAATCGAGATGAAACGGGCACCAGGCAACGTCTCGTCAACTACTGACCTGCCGCAACACAGAAGAAATGTGTGTGTGTGGGGAGGGGGGGGCTCAGGGATAATAACTATTCTGCGTGGCCCTGGATAGCAATGGCCCTGGATAGCAATGTCCGGAGGGACTGAAGCAGAGAGAGAAAGGACAGCCTACTTTCAGAGGCGAGGACAGCAATACCTGGTAGATCGGATGACGAGGGAGCCAAAAATGCTTCTGTTGTGTACAACACACGTCACCACTGGGAGCTAAGAATTTCAGGCACAAAAGATGCACCACAAAGCTTGGCCGTAAGAACCGGTGCATCGTTGATGTTGGCATACCTCGCAGATAAAATAAGTCTCAGGCAACCCAGGAGGTTCTACCGTGGTGGCTCCTGCCCATACCTGCGGTGTGGCAATGGCTGCATCAACCTCCTCGTCCTGGCAAGCCAGCATCCCCACGACCACCATGATCGTAACATCGATAACCTGAGATCCAAAAAATAAATAAAAAAGAAACATGCAACAAACGGAAGGAACACAAACCCTTTCGCTTTTCCGGCAAAACGCCTTGTTCATACACACGTTGTTGAGAAAATCCAACACGTGCCACCAACAGGAATCATTCTGCGGTGCCCCCCAGATCCCTTGGCGTGTCAATGGAAACAAGGCAATGCAAGACAGGTAGACCCTACAAGTCACCGGTACAGACAGACGGCCACGAAATAAAGTTTCGAGTTTGACAACGGCAACGAGATGTTTGTCTCAGTTGTGAAAAAAAACATCTATCTTAGACGCCTTTTTAAATTAGAGATGGACTCATTAGGTCACATATACAAAAAAAAAGGGACGCGGTGTGTGCTTGCTGCCGACGTTCCAATACCCCCTCGAGCAGATGACGTCAATATCTGTTCCGGTATCAATAACAAAAAATCCAAAGCACCGTGGGAGGGAGTTTCGAATGCGTGCGCCTACAACCCGCCCTCGCCAAATGAAAAAAAAAACGTCAACTAGACCGAATGAGGGTAAAACTTGTATCGGCTGAACACAGCACAAAAAAAAAAAAATCCAAACAAAACGAGAAACTTGCATCGGCCTAACACGTTTTACCCCCCTTTGGCCTCTCACTCACCGTGAGTACGTAGGCCCAAGAGGGACGCAGACCAGCGGAGGTAGACATGTTAACGTCCAAGCTGCCCTTGATGGCAAAGAAGAACGACACCACGCAGGTGAAGAGGAGGTAGAAGCTCGTAAGGGCCGACATCAGCCCCAGCCCTCGCATGTACAGGTAGCCTCTCACAGGCGCTGGGTCGCTGTTTTTTGTCGTAAGAGGGGGGGGGGGGGGGGGGCCATTTGGAAAGGGAAAAAACTTGGGGGGGGGGGGGGGGGGGG